ACATACTGCCCATCTGTAACGCAAGCAAAGCCCATTTTCACTAGTACACGAAATGCACGTGTTTCGAAAACATTAGCCCATACTTCACTTCAATATAACCTTAGGCTAGAAAGCACCAGGCTTGTCGGTGCGATCATACGTTTTTATGCGTTTTTGCATGTATGCAAATGCAAAAACACATGTTGGCAAGATGCTGTCTGTGTGCGTGTTTCTGTATGTTCGCACTTTTTGTCACCTACTTTCAACTCGAGAACCAGAAAAGCTAGAAGACAGAAAATTCGGAAGTGACCAAACCGTGTGTGACCCTCCCATTTTAATATCACCACCGGTGTAAGCTTGGGTCCCAAGTACGAACGCCTCAAAAAATGTGCAAATTTTTTGATGGGAAAGCGATCGCCGGGACCAAAACGGATAGAGAGGTGAAACTTTGTAGGGATATTCTCTACACACCCCCGGGCTAAAGATTTCAAATCCAGCCCCTAGCTGCCTATGGTTCACAAATACGAGCATGTGGAAGTTTTGGGGGATAACTGTCAACCGAGCAGCCATAAAAGCTGAAACGCTGAAATTTTCAAAGATCCCCCCTCTCCACGTACAGTTTAAAGATTTCAAATTCAGCTTTCTGGTAAACGTGGTACTCACGTGTGAGCATGTGAAAAGTTGGCGAAAAAACTGCTAACTCTGGAACCAGCAAAGCTGGAAAGCTGAAATTTCAGAAGAATATTCCATGTCCGAATACAACTTAAAGGTTTCAAACTCAGCCTCCAGGGAGCGTGGTTCCCGTGTACGGGCACCAAATTTCTAGCCGGAAAATTTCTCATTATGCAGCGGTGTTTTTTCAAAAGACGACCGCTAGGCACAAATTGCTTGTTTTGGTTTATGCAAAATTTACGATGGTTTACGGTAGTAAGCGCACAAGGCACGTGTGAAACAATAATCATACATGCAGTTAATCTAATTACTTCAAGTCTGGTGCAAAAACGCACTATCGCACCGGCAAACTTGGCGCGTTCCAGCCTAGGTTGCATTAAACTTGGAGCAGCTAGGTCTTTAGCTGTATGAATGGTCGTCGCCTGTATTTATGTATTCATTAGCGTAAACCAACGCAAATTTTGCATAAAGGAAAAAACACTTTTCGCTGAACGATCGTTCACTGAAAGTGACCCAGCTGTTCAATGAACGATTCCCCTGCCAAAACTTTTACTTACCCATACGCGAGAAGCTAGCATACCTGGTGGCTAAGTTTATTGGAGAGAGGAATATCCCCTTAAAACTTCAGTCTTCCAAATTTTCTGGTTGTCGAGTTGGCAACTTTTCCGCCGAAGCTTTCATGTGTTCGTACGCGAGGCTTAAACATGTGCAAAGGCTGGTATCGCGATCTTGAGGTAGCACCTAGCCAGGGAACCCACTGGCACGATTCCAGCGCCAAAGCTTGCTTGACAGCCAAATTGAAATAACCAGACACACACACACACACACATACACAACACACAAATATACACAACACACAAACATACGCACGCTATGGATCGTCACAGTATACGTTGTTGCATTTGCAGACATGCAAAAACGTATAGAAACGGTCCAATGAACAGAGTTGCCAGATTTACTGGGCGGGCCCGTGCGATCATTCACCTTTACATTATTTTGTGCTGTGGTAGACCGCCTGGAAACACAACAGGTACAATCTGTGACATGCTGGTCTTTCAGCTATAGGAGATTAATTGTACAACTACCACGTGTTACTTGGAAAGGGAACATTCTACTGAAATTTTAGCTTTCTTGGTTCCCGAGTTAACGATTTTCTCGCCAAAAATTTTGATGGGCCAAACTTGAAGACCGCGCATGCCTGGGGCTGAATTTGAAACCTTTGAGTTCTACTTGGAGGAGGGGGGAGGAAAGCTGAAATATCCCCTCAAAACCCCAGCTTCTTAGCTTCTCCGGTCC